AATTTAAATTGCGTTTAATATGTATTAGAATATGAATTAGATTTATATATAGCTTTACTCAAACATGCGTATTTTGACACAAAATTAAAATTTTTGTGAAACGGCATGCCGATATATTTTTATATTTCCATTCTACGACTCTTATACCGAAATATTAAATTTTGTATAATTTGCTGAAAATCTTACCGAGAAATTTAAAAATTTATCATGGCGCACTTTGTTCAATTTGCGCCAACAATAACTCACTTGGCGAAATTCTTAATTTATAGCAAACTATTTTCCTTTCCCTTTTTACACTATGCACGAGCAAATTCGTTTTCGCACGAGCACGAGCAAACACGTTTCATCATTCATACTTTCAAATAATTTTAACAAAGTTCTAAAGCCCATTTGACGTTATTATCGCTTCTAACAAATACGCCAAATTTCGAAATGTGCAATATATGAATTAAGTATATCTTTGGAAATACTGAATAAAAAATGTCTATACCCTTGCTAATGCTTCACTGTCATCTAATGCTCGCTTATACCCATTTAAGAATTTATCCATGCTTCTGCATAAATGTACTCCCATGAATATTTAATAACTACAATTCGTTGTTGGTATTCTAAAGAAAAATTCATTTCCACCCACATGCATTATCAATATGGCCGACATTTCGCCTTTTGACCGGTAAAACCGGAGGGCATTATTCAACGTCATATTAAACAGTACCCAAATGTGTTCATCTAAGGAGCCATTGGATATAATGAGAGATCTCCTCTGCTAAAGAACTGAAGGTACTGCCATCAGGAACCGTAACATCAGAGGTGTTGTAGAAACGGAAGTCAACGTAATTCTGGAATTCAATAGAACCATACTTGTCCATATATTATTAGAAATGTTTAAGATTTCTTCTCAGTACATTATTTATAGCTTCTTCCCTGGTTTTTCCGTTCACATAGTAAGTCACTTATTGAACATGTTTAAGACTTCGTGCAAAGGCAACTCGCTCCTGACATTTATCTCGAAGGCAACCTTTGGGCTCAGACAGAAGAAATGTGGAATACTATCCCTCAGGTACATAATTCAAAGTCTGTTTGGTTCAGTGTCTGTTTGATTCAATGTCTGTTTGATTCAATGTAGAAGCTCTTACTGCATCGTATGATAGCTTCATCAAATTTTTGATTTGAGGCATTTAATAGTCTTATATTATTTTATAAACTTATCGCTTCTTTGTATTACTACATGTGGTAAACAGAATAGATTTAATTTCAGTTTCTTGTTTCCTTCATGCTGTTGCAGTTTTCCCGAGAAGAAGCATATTTTTGCTTCTAGGGTATACGCAGTAACAATGTTTTAGAATCATTTAGTATATACTAATAATGGTTACATATATCCCCCCAACAACATTCGGAAATTTTCTGCGATGATGATATAATTTTCAAATAAATTGTAAAACTAAAGAATTCAACTCAAGATTTAAGGAAATAACACTCAATAAACTAAAGAAGAAGATAAACAAACATTTTTGAATTCTTAAAAATTAAAGTCACAAGAATAATTTAATATAATCCTGCATCGTAAACGATTTTTATTCAAAAAAACGGAAGGAAATCAGACAATTTAATACAAATAAAGTTTAGTGAAAGAGGATAGCTAAAAATGGCAAAAAAGAACGTCAAAAAATTCAAGATGAGCATAAAATGACAGAAAATAATTTAATGTAAACAGTTTCTGAAAAACGAGAAGAAATGAAGATGAGAAAAACATAAAATTGAAAGATATTGCATTTTCCCTCATTTCTTAAGTATGTAAAAGATTCATTTTTCTTGGTAATTTAGGAGAATCATGCATTGAAACATTTAAATTAATGGGATTGTGAAGCGAATACAACAATCTACTTGTTCTTAACTCGTTATGATAATTAATATTCCGCACTAATCTCTAATAGAGCATTCACATGAGCTCAAAATTAACTAAAGTTCTAGAACAACAAATTTACTAAACCTGTGGATTAATTCTAAAGGAGTTTTAGTTTACTTCTTAAATCAAAAACGAAAAAAGGTTAACCGAAAGATAACATTAAACGATGAGAGAAAACAATCCTTCAAACCAACAATGGAATTTAACTACACTCCTGCTCAAAAAATAAGCGACAAAGACAAAACACGAAATAAAACAAAACCAATTTAATGGATGTTAGCGAACTTTATCTAACAGATTGGTGTGGCATTACTAGATCACATAGCAAACTACAAAGTAAAGCCAATACAAAAACACATTACGACCAATCACATCGTGAAAAATCAAATGGGGCGGAAAATGTGCAATGGAAACATCACGTTCGTTACCAATGGGTATGACACCCTCTAGCTGAAATGCATGCTTGACAACGGCTAGGTAAACTGGCAATAATGTCGTTGATCGCTTGTTATTGCAGTAGAGCTCATTCCTCTAGAAATACATGTCCGAATTCATACAGGATGCCTTGCGGCACACTTCGACCGGCTATCTGTCATCCCAACATAACCACCTGCCCCAGGGACTGAGGTCCTGTGATCTGACAAGCCAGGCCACGGCAGATGTGGAAAGGTTTTACGCTCCAAGTAACTCCGCACTACTCGAGTTCTACACGAGCGGGTGTTACCACCCATAAGTATCACTGCGGTACACATTAGAACGATAAAAAAACTCACGACAGGATGTAGAATTTTGTCGCGATATCGGACGGCTGTAAATGGATCCACCAGGCATCTCATAGAGGTCGGGGAGGCCGTTCTTTGCTATCCAAGGCCATACAAGTAAGCCTTCTCCTCTGCAATAATCTCTTTCGATGATGTTTGGAGTCCAATAGCATATCCCTGGCTCTCGAAATACCATTTCGTTTCCGGATTCGTTCTGGATGTTAAATCAAGACTCATCCGTAAAGAGATGGCCCCACTAAACGAACACGCTCAGCTCAAAGCCTTTTCTCTATCAATGTCTGAGCCGGCATTGTTGGAGACCACCTCCTTGGACCGTACCTTCTGGCTCCTCGTCTGGACGATAAGGAAGGCAGGATTTTATCTTTCTACATGAAATCGTTCCTGAACTTATAGCAGAAGCTCATGTTCCTCAGTCGTTGTTTTGCTCAGCGTAGTTCCAGCTTCATGCAGCTCTCCCACACTGTTACTATGATGTTCGCCAACACCTAAACGTTATATTTGGACAGCACTGGATAGGTCTTAGTACTCCAGGTATTCTTGGTCTTGGTGCTTGATGGCAGGCTAGATATACGGACCCATCATGACTGTACTTCTTTTTTCTGGGGTCAAATGAAGACATTGGTGTACGAGATTCATGTTTATTCAGTTGGAGACTTCGCCGCTCGCATCGCTGTAGCTGCCGGGAAGATGCGAAACATACCAAGACTCTTTCAGAACATCAGGAATACCATGCGGCGTCGCAGTGAAGCTCATGTGGCTGCTTCTGGACGTCGTTTCGAATACCTTCTGTAACATGTAGTTTTTGCTCATGTAAAACTTGTAAAATTAATTGCAACAACGCAAAATGATTTCTGAACAATGCAAAATGATTTCTGTAACACTGCTGTTTCTGTTCTTTTTCTTTGGTTCTTTTAACCGTAGCTCGAGTAGAAGGCAATTCGCACCCTTGATTTTTCTGCATTTCCGAATCGCTTTTGTGCCCCCCTCATCTCCTGTAAGTCTATCACACCGGTAGCGAATCGCTGTGCATAGGGCACTATTATAAGATCTAGTTGTGCACTATACTTGAAATTACAGAAGTGTTTTAAAGGACGAAAATGTTCATGTTGTGGCAATGTCAAATTCAAAAAAAAATTTTTTTATTCGATTTTCGACAAAAATGCAAATCTAAATTTTAATTAGGTTTCCTGGTTCCTATGCATTTTGGAAGAGTTTTATACTCGTTATGAAAAATAAGATCATAAGAAGTTTGACTCTTGTACCATGAAAACCGGGAAATTTAATTTCAAGATTTGTAGTTTTTGATATCGTTATTAGTTTGCCTTGAGATATCTGTTAATTAAGTTAAAACAATTCGAGGTTGTATATTAAACTATATGCAACAAAACTGTATATAATTTAACAGGCCATACAAGAAAATCTTGTGTCCGTATCAAATTTTTTTTTTCGTTTTTTCAACTAAGAATCACATGCTTTATCTTGCATCATTATCCACGATGCACTTAAAATGCAGCAATAAACTACAATTATAACTTGGACTAACGCATAGAGAATTATTTTCATGTCTAGGAAGATACGTTTTAACTTTGGATTCTTAATGTCGATGGTGAGAAAGTGTAAAAAACAGTTAGTTACAGTCGGTTAGTTTGTCAAAATATGGAAAAGCGCATAACAGCTATTTGCGTAACGGGAAGTATACTTTCGTAGTCACCCTTCTGAGAAAAATTTTCTCGTATTCACATTACCAGATTAGGAAATTTACGAAAATCAGACACGCAGCTTACTCCTTCGTCTCCAAACCGTGTAGAACCCAGAAAGTATTCAACAGTCTTAATCACTCAGTCACTGGTGGGGGCCTGATTGCAACAGGAAACACTAGGAAACACTTATTCTGTATTTTACTTTAATTTAGGGAATCCATTTATAATACCACTATTTCGCTTCCTATAGTCATAATACTTTCATATTGTACTCGTAGTACCATCAAACATGCAGTCATATTTCGCACTCGTTCTGTATATTATTTCTCATATTTCCTTTATAATTTATATAGATTGCTTCCGCATTTATTTATTGGATTCTAAAACGGTAATACATTTTCAATCAAGTATATATAATTTTTAAAAATTCTACACCTTATGAAACAGTGGATAAAGGAATTTAACAAAAAATTGTGTTCTTTGTGTTTAATTCGTACCTGTAAATTATGAACAGTAAAATCATATATATGGAATTATTTGAAAGATTATTTAAATGCATATTTTCAATAATTTCATTTCCAAGATAAACGTTATATTTTGTTTTGGTGCTAGCATATATCAAAGTCATCAGCTTCTGTGTATAAAAGATTATTTTCAATGGGAAACAGCAAAGGAAGAATTCCAAAAATGCTTTCGTGCTCTTCGCCGAGTCGAGACAGCTCCGTAAATACTTCAACTTCAAAATCAAGTTCTGTTAGTCAGTCATCGGCACAGATCAATTCAGGTAGACATATTTTTAATTCAGTTACTTATATGTATAATTCAGTTTCTTGTACATAAATATATGTATATATCAATATATATTTCTTTATGTATGTAAATCCAACTAACATGCTATCAAAATGACAATACCGTATCTAACTCATACTATTGACATAAGGTTTATTATATATACCTAACGCCTCGCATTACCTAGCTGACATCGATCAGGCATTTTTCGCTTTTAACTAGAAATAGTTAGCATTCAGACCTAACGGCTTAAATATTAGGTTGAAATGAACCATGAAGCTTACCATGAGCATGAAACCGTTAAGTTGGAATCTGATTTTAGGAAATAAGGTGACCTTCGCGAATTATTCACACGGGAAAGTCTTTAATCGCTGTATTAATTTAATTTATCTTGTTTGTATATAAACCCATAATATGTAATTATACATAATATACAGTACAATTATACATTAATATACAATACAAATAAATATACAATTAAACCTATAATGCAGAAAATTGCTTCTAAAACAGACTATTATTTCTAGGAATATCGTAAAATATAACTAAACATTCCTACTGGATATCCGTTCTTTAAAGAGCCCATTTCCAACGAAGAACAAAACCACTTGGATTCATAAATTGTATTCATACTAAATTTTGCTGTAATTGAAAGAAAGCCGCTAATTTATTGGATATCCTTGAATAGAATGTTTAATTAGAATTAAAACTAACTTGCAGTATCGGAAATTTAAAAAAAAAATCTAAATTTTTCTTCTTAAAAAAGCGATCCGGTTGCCTTCTTTTTATTACTGGATTGCATAGTTTAAAATCAACAGTTACCTTTCGAATTGCATCGGTATGCAAATGGCGGTATTCGGATAGCCTAACGCAAGTTGCCTTTCAAACGCAAAGGGTTTGAAAACACAGTTTTAAGTTCCCCCAAAAAAATATTTTCTACGCCAAAGTACCCAAGACACTTTGCTATTGGTATTATAAACATTTTTATTACGGTATAAGTATTGTTTGGAGATGCACTGGATGCACTGGTTTTAGATCAATTATAACAATGTATAATAAAGCTATCTTCACTGAGGAAGAAATGTTTTCCTAAATTATTTTCTGACGGTTTGAATGTTAACGTCACGTATTAGGTAAATTGTAAACTACATAAATTAAATAATTCTATGAATTACATCAATTACGGATATTAAAAATAAAGCAAAAGTGTAATGAGGAATACATATTTTGTTTTTAAATTTTATAAATTTTTAACTAGTGTAGATATAAACTGAAAGATAAATTTAAAATCTCATAAGTGGAAACAACACTGAAAACAGGTTATCTCTTGTGAATGGTAAATTAATACGTGGAATTGCAAACTTCCAAAGCTATCTGCGCTTTCAAAGTTACATCGCCCTCAAGGGCTCACTTTTTGTTAATATGGGTGTGGCAATTTCGAGGTACCCTAGCCCTTTAGGCGATCATCGTCTTGGTGAGACGGGTATGACGATCCTGGATCCCCAGTGATCTATCCTCTTTTCGGTCTCCTCTCCTCCGAGCTGAAACGTTTTCCCTTCCATTTTCCCTTGTGGTTTTCTCTTAGCAGGCTGGGGCTCGTCACGAGAAACTGGAACAGCCCTTATCTCTAGTTTTCGAGTGGCGAGAAAACTGCCCGCGTGTTTGCCTTGCGTGGTGACCCGTATCGCTGGAAAGGAAAAGTCCTGGTAGTTGAGGGGCGAGGTACTGTCCCCAACACACTGCTTCGGCCTCAGCTTCAGCTGAACAGGAGGCATCTTGTCCTCACGGGTGTCATTCGACAGGTCACTAGTCCTTGTGTCAGTGGCTTGGGGATAAGCTCTTGGGAGTACCTGCTTTCGGAAAAGCCGACTGTGGGGCTTCAGTTTGCGTATAGGTCTGGCTAGCCTTAACAAAGGAATCTGTGATCCCTTGTTGGGCTCCGCGGCCGGCGTGGACGTCGGACCCGAATCTTTTCTTCCTTCAATATGGCAATTTCTCATCTATATCTAATTAACGTTTTCGAGGTCAGTCACGTCGCTCAAAGTTTTAAGTCTTCTGAAAATTCTACTGCTAAAATAGTACGTACCGATGCAAATGCGAATAACCCAAACAATTGTCCCCGCTTCCATTGTCCCTGTGCTTCTGGAGAGCTGCAAAGGATGTCTCCTTTTGTAATAAATAAATAGATTCATTCTTGTATTGGTGAGGCGAGAAATATAAAGCGTCTCCGCTCTGGAGACTTGCTTATTGATACAACTTCGGCGACCCAGTCACCTTCTTTACTTCAAATAACCAAACTTGGACAAGCGAATCTCACTGTAACAGCACATAAGACGCTTAATTATTGTCGAGATGTAATCTCGGAATTCAACTTTCTCCATGTTCCTGAAGAAGAGATCGCATCCGAGCTGTCTAACCAAAATGTATGTGGTGTTAAGCGGATCAAGATGCTTAAGGAAGACCAGTTGATCGATATGAAACACGTGATCCTGATCCTTACGTCGCCCGATCTGCCTAAGAATATTAAGGCCAGATACCTAAATTGTCTCGTAAGACCTTATATTCCAAACCCTATGCGATTCTTCCAATGCCAGCGCTTCGGCCATTCTAAGATGTCTTGTCGTGGCAGCCTCACATGCGTCCGATGTTCACAGATTGGTCACGATTCTGATAATTGTACCACTGGGCCTGCGTGTATAAATTGCAAGAGTTAACACCCAGCATTTTCTCGCTTGTTCCCAAAATGGAGATCAGAAAAAGAAGTGCAGACTGCAAAAGTCACTAGGAACATCACATATGCTGAAGCCAGAATATTAGTCCTAAGCTTCGACCAAACACATCTTACGCCAGTGCTCTTGAATCATCTCGTACAGTTGCCACGCAAACATCAATTGATGCGCAGCTCTACCAAATACATCCCAACCGATTACAACCAACAAAAAAACCCCAACTCATTTAATGCAAAAAAAAAGGAACAGTATTTCAAAGCAAACCTAAAAAATGTCCTTCCAGAAAGCAATTAACAAAAATAGAAGCCCCAGCAATAGTCTCTGTAAGAGGAATGATTTTCTGAATCTCTAGATTCAGGATAGTATGAAAGTGGAGGAGGGACTGGAAGGTCCCAAGCACATCTGCTTCCGCGCAAAACTAAAAAGCAAGCACGGATAGAACAAACATCAATCATAATGGCAAACCCTCATCTCATGGAATTGTCTCGGTTTCCACCGAAATTTCCTTCGACATCAAAGCTATCATCAATGCTTATCCATCCTGTGTGCTTGGCAGTACAGGAGACAAATCTGAAACCAGATCAACATGCAAAACTTTCGGAGGTTTTCTTTCGCCAGGAAGGATAACCTTGCAGGTGAGCATGCCAGTAGGGGTGTAGGCTTCCGCACTCACTGGACTTATCCATCAAAAATCATTTCCTTTGACGACATCCCTCCAAGTTGTCGCTACTCAAGCAAATTTTCATAAAAATGTGTAACCCTGTTCAGCCTAAAAATAAACTCTGTATTAAAAAGAATTTCCTGCTACCATTTCAGGATTTTTGTATGTTGATGACCTACAAATTAGCTGTCGAAGTGCAGATATGAGACATGTAGAGAGACAGCTCCAGATCGCTTTGAACAGAATCCAGGAATGGTCAGACAAACAAGGCTTTACGTTTCGAAACAGAAGTCCGTGTGTGGGCACTTTTGTAGAAAGCAAGGTTTCCATACTGAACCTAAGTTATATCTTAACAGTTCGATAATTCCAACTGCACCTGAAGTAAAATTATTAGGGGTCATTTTCGACCAAAATTTGACTTTCCTTTCTTATATTTTGAAACTGAGAAAGAAATGTATAAAAAAAAACTAAATATTTTAAAAGTTTTGACGAACACCTCCTGGGGTGCAAAGCGTTGTTCTATGCTTTACATTTACAGAGCACTTGAACTTTCTAAACCGGAATATGCGTCAGTTTGTTATGGATCCGCCCGGTCTTCAGTATTGTCAAAACTAGATCCTGTTCTTCATTAACCTTTGCGAATCTGTTCTGGAGCTTTGAGGACATCTCCTGTATAGAGTCTTTATGTTGACTGTTACTAACCATCACTCCGTTTGAAGCGTGAGGGTCTCTTTTACAGTATTTTAATGTATTGTCTCAACTTGACCATCCTAATAAGCTAATTTTGCTTGATAATAAATGTGACATCTTATTTGAAGCACGACAATCTTGTGTGCCTTCTTTTTCTTTAAGAGTTTGTTCTCTGATTGAGGAACTCTCTCTCTTTCTGGTATCTCTCCCCCCCCCCAAGCAGTACAGCATTTCCAAATTCCACCTTGGAAAAATACAGAATTCCATCTTCTTGATGCTTTCCACATTCACGTTAAAACAAGCACTAACGAGACTGTTTACAGACAACTTTTTGCTGAGATCCGGCATAAATATAGCAGTTATGTTTCCATATATAGAGCTGGATCCAAGTCAACTGGTCATGTTGGGATGGCATTTGTAATTGGAGACCACGTGGAGCGCAGAAATTTGCACTACGCTTCCTCTCTTAACATCAGAACTATCTGCTATATATTCTGCGCTTCTGTACGCATCAAATCTATGCCATAAATATCATAATTTATAGAGACTCGTACAGTGCTTTGAAACTTTTAGAAGCTGCTTCCAGCACTCACAGTCCTGATGTAGATATTCTAAAGTTAACATTAAACATTAACATCTAACATTATAGCGCGGTTACGAAATTCTGTACTGCTGGGTTGCTGGCCATGTTGGATTCAGGGGAAACGAACTGGCAGATATCTCAGCCAAATCTGCTGTTGATTTATACAGTCAGCATGGTCCTTTAACGGATATTAAGAAAGTTTTTCAAGAGAAAAATCCTAGAGAAGTGGCAGCTATTGTGGGATGCTTCCTCAATAAACTTCAAAGTGTGAAACCTATAATTGAGTATTAGAACTGCATACGAAATCGAAGGAAGGAAAAGTAATTTTAGCC